GGCAGGGCTGGGCAAAGGGCTGTGCTGGCAGAGGCTGGAGGGGAAGGCAGCGGCGGGCGCCGCTTCCAGCCGAGGGAGCTTGGTGAAGATCACCGGGTCCAGAGATTCCACCTGCCTTTTGGAGGCCATTGATAGGTGGCTGTGGGTGTCCTGGCCAAGGAGTGCAAGAAGGAGAGGTGAGCTGGCCTTCCTGGATGGTGGGAAGAGAAAACAAAGCATGAGCAAAGAGAGTCCTCGTGGGCAAAGCCCTCAGCCTGCAGCAGAACAGCACAAGGTGACAGAGCCCCCTGGGAGGTCTCCCAAAGTCACCTCACCCATGGAGAAAGTTTCCTTCTTCATTGCACTGGAAGGCTTAAAGACAGCAGGAGAGCCATGGAAAGCCCTTGCCTGTCTCACCACCAGCCTCTGCCAAGGGCAACAGGGACTTGCTTCCCTTCTCCCACCCTCCTGACACTTGGCAGAGCCTACAAAAACAAACCAACCCACCCCAACTGAGAAGCAATAATTGATCCTCAGCATGGAAGCCAGAGATCTGGGGGCAGGGAGCCAGGGTTGGAGCCTGATGGCAGCAGGGGGATGCTGCCAGGCTGGCTGGGCATTCCTCCAGCCACCTCCTTGGAAAAGCTGCTGCCACTTGGGTTTCAAATCCTCAGTGTCTGTTGCAAAGCCGGGTCAGCTCAGGTGAGGAGCCAGCAGGCTGGTGAGGAACCAACCCAGAGTTCCCCACCACTTCCAGCTTTCAGTGTCATTTGAAGCTTTTCCCCCCACGGCAGCAGCCTGGAGAGACCTGGTGTGTGCCAGCAGGTGGAGCTGGCAGCCCGGCCTTCAGGGCACTGCCCCACATCCTCTCAGCAGCAGGAGCAGCCCCCCAGTATCTCCTGGCATCACCCAGCACTGCCCAGCATCTCCTGAGCAACCCACTGAGAAACCCGAGTGTTGCTTGAGCCCCAGGCCCATCACCCAGTATCCCCTCAGCATCACCTGAGCATCACAGACATCACCCAAGCGAGGCCTCAGACCCCACCTGAGCACTGCTGGACCGTGGTCCAGCATCTCCCAGGCATGGCCAGACATCACCCAGCATGGCCAGACATCACCCAGCATCTCCCAAGCACAGCCCAGCACCCCAAAAGCCCACGGATGGAGTTACTGCAGTGGGATCTCCTGCCTGTCCTTCAGCCCCCCCCCCCCCAGTTTTTCTGTGGCAAGAATTAGCTGAGAAGCAAGGAAGGAAACAGAGGAAGAGAGCGTGGAGATAAGATAAAAACCTTTTTCACAGAAGGGGAAATGGAGCTGATAATTGGGAAGACCTGTGAGGGATAGATAAGGGACCCAAGTGTGGTGGCTCTGGCTGGAGCCCAGAGCTCAGCTGCTCACCACCCACCCTGGCAGCCCCCCCTGCCAGCTCTGCCTGCCCTGCCAGACCATCCCCAGGCACAAACTGGGGTCACAGCTCCACCAGCCACTCGGCCATGAGCAATGGGTGCCCCTGCCCAGCTGCAGCTCTGCCCTCAGCAAGCCCTGGTGGGAACCTGGGGACCTTCAGCTTGGGTTTCCTTTCCAAACTTGAAGAATGTCTCACTTCCCGGGCAGGATTCTGCTTCCCTGGACTCCTCTGCACGTGGAAAATCCCTCTGGAGGGTCAGTGCTTCCAGGAAGTGGAGAAGGAAGCTCATCTCCTCACTTGCACCCTCAGAAGCTCCCCAAAGGGTTGTGGGGTGACCACAGCACTTCCCTAGGGAACCTGGGGGTCACTGCTCACACATCCCTGGACCAACTACATCTGCCAGGAAAAAAAATTGCTCCCCTCAACCCTGAAAAGGCTGCCAGGCAGGCAGGGGGTCCCCAAAGTGGGTTCTTTTCCTTCCCAGCCCATCACTCACCCCCCCAAGGAGGGATCTCTCCAGAGGGTGGTGTTTAAATCCATCTCCCCAGGAGATGCTGCGTGGGCAGGAGATGCCACACGGGAGGGAGATGCCCCGTGGGATCCCTGTCCCGTGGGATCCCTGTCCCGTGGGATCCCTGCCCAGTGGGATCCCTGTCCCGTGGGATCCCTGCCCCGTGGGATCCCTGTCCCATGGGATCCCTGTCCCATGGGATCCCTTCCAGACAGTGCTCGGGGTGGACAAGCTGGGGCATCTCGTGATTTCTGACACTTCCTGGCTGGTTTTTTTTTTCCCCCTTTCCCCAAAAGGCACCGATTTACACCAAGGGGGGGATGTTGTGCAACCAGCCCTGCTGCCACCAGGGGAGCGGGCTGTGCCCCCGGGGCAGCTCAGCAGCACCTGCCCCATCCCCCCCCATTGCCAAATCACCTGCAACCGCAGCAGCCAGACCCCCCTTTTGGGGGGAAGGCAGGAAAAGGCCTTGTTATCCCAGCATGAGGAGGCCTTTCCCCTCAGGAACACCCCATCCCAGGGACACCCCATCCCAGGGACACCCCATCCCAGGGACACCCCATCCCAAGGACACCCCATCCCAGGGACACCCCATCCCAGGGATAAGCAGGCAGCAGCTCTGACTTCCAGCCATGCCAGCTGGATGCAGCACAGAGTCACCCTCAGCCCCAGGTGGGGCAGCTGGAGCCAGACGCGTGGATTCTCTGCTGTCTGATAGGGGTTGAGCTCATTAACCTCATCAGGGCGAGGACACTACTGGCCCCCCCTCTTTCCACGGGGGGGGCTTTGCCCTGCCATCTGAGACTCAACCAACCAGCCCTGCTCCTCCTGCCTCCACCAA